ATTCGGACCCCTCGTCGTTGACTGGCCCCACAAGGCTGAAAGCAAATCGTATTTTCCCCCAAAAGGATATGCATTCCTATTATTTCAGGTGGGTTGTTGGAAAACTCCTTTTGTTTCATCAATAATAATTTGGGTTCTCTTATAGGATGAAAATTCTGTACAAAGTCTAATAGATGCGTGCATTACCGATGAAGATAAATTGTATCTGTGTGTATCGTCGCCAACAATCAAAGATAAACCTGTACAGATTAGACCATGGAGGTTGTCGGATGCGGATTTTGTTTTAGATGCTTCTATGCCGTTGGATCCTCGGAAAACCGTTTTCGTTGGAGGAGTTCCACGTCCTCTAAAAGCTGGTAATTTATAATGATAACGCTCGTGGTAACTAAACTAACGTTTCAATTTGATTGATTTCTCTAGTGGAATTAGCTATGATAATGGATCGTCTCTATGGTGGAGTGTGTTATGCTGGCATTGACACTGACCCAGAGCTCAAGTATCCAAAAGGTGCAGGACGAGTAGCGTTTAGTAATCAGCAAAGTTATATCGCTGCAATTAGTGCACGTTTTGTCCAACTTCAACACGGTGATATTGACAAAAGGGTAGAAGTGAAACCTTACGTTCTCGACGATCAGATGTGTGATGAATGTCAAGGACAACGTTGTGGTGGCAAATTTGCACCGTTCTTCTGTGCTAACGTGACTTGTTTGCAGGTATTAGGATTGTTTGTGGGATGTTGTATAAATTGTGATTGAATCGTATTGTTTGTTGTAGTACTATTGTGAACATTGCTGGGCGACAATTCACTCGAGGCCTGGAAGAGAGTTTCATAAGCCTTTGGTAAAGGAGGGTGCGGATCGACCAAGAGCTGTTCCTTTCCGCTGGTGTTAACGCAGGAGCGCTTAGTCAGCGGCCGCCACTTTTAGCTTATTACCACCGGCGGCACGGCTGTCCATCGCATAGGCATAATTATCTAGTAGCAATTATACATATTTAAAGTATACATGTAACCAGTTATCTTCTGTCTGAGGCGCCTGGTGGTAGCGGATTCCACTGCACCAGCACCAGCCGATGCGTCTGCGTTCAGCCATTGTCCGACTACGATGTGTATCGCTGTATTTCGAAACGAGAAGCCTCCTTTTGGTTCTATGTCTAGTTCTAGTAGGTAATCAAAAAGTTAAAAATAAAAATACAGAAAAATCAATCGGGGAAGGAACCAAGAGAGGTACTTCTACATATGATGTTTAGTGCGGTATAGTCAGAAACTTTCAGGGTATTGTAAATACTAGTCTAATCTGCAAGCCGCTGCTGGGCAGAGGATCTTCGCTTGCGGCGACCACTTACCACTTAGCCCCCAAGTACCTGACCGGCCCGCCTTTGCCCGTGTCCCGCTATTGAGCTCCCTTTAATAACAAACACTAACCCACCTGGCTTTCCCGCTGCCCCGCAAACCTGCTTTATGTCCGCACTCCTACCATCCTTTATTTTAATGTGTGATACCATAAACGTCTTTATGTATTAAATGAATTGCACGGATATGTATAGTATATATTATATATAGTATCAGCTATTCTAAGACTTTGTATTTTTTAAATTTGAATTTTTATACTAAACTGTTATAAATGGTGATTAGCAAAAGTTTGATGTGTGCAATAATTGCGTTTGGGGTAGCCCAGCTGACCTCGGCGCCGTAGAGTTTTATCTTTAACCGTAATTAATGAATATATAACGTTTCCTAGGTAATTGTGTAAATAGGCGCGGGGCGAAGAGATTGCAGGCCGTACCCCTAAACGTCTAGTCAGGGTGCAGCCACCCGGCCCGTGCGAACCATCTACAATATGGTACAAATATGTATTGATATGATTTGTAAAGATTTACACTCCTTTTTCTACTGTTTGTATATTTGCTCGCCTGCCCTGTGGGGAGTAGATGATAGTTGAAACGGACAAGACCGTATCATATTCTGTAGACAGTTGTCATTTTGATCTAACGATTACATAACTTTTTATCCGTTTTTGAGATTTAGAAGTGTGTGCAGTCAGATTGTTTCGAAACTGATTGTATCATTTTCATATTTTTACTATGTAAGCTGTGTATTTATTGGAAAATTTTTAAAGTTGTATACATTTTTTACTTTTTATAACTGTTTTCAAGGCAATTTTTTGAGTTATTATTTACTATTTTATATGTGGATATGGACAGTCAAAACTGTGACCAGTCTGAAATGAAACTGGCAACAAGTACAGTGTTTCCAGTTTGATTGTAGTTACCATTAGTGCAATACATCGGGCTGTTGCCTCGATTAGGGATAGTCAATTGTTTCAGATCCTTATTGTTGCCCAAATGGATCTTTCAGTTTTTGCCCGGTTTGTTGACCGTTGGCTACTTGACTAGCAACAAACTAGTTTATTATTATTCTAACTATTATTATTTTTTTTTTGTATTTTACAAAATACTATTTAAATTGTTTTTATAATTATTTTATACACTTTTGTATGTTTGTTAGTCAATTTGAGATAAGGTTTGTAAAACTGTATAAACAGTTTCTCCTTTAAGATTTTGTTAAATATCAGACTTTTTATGTTTTTTATAAATATTATATAAAATGTCAATTTGTGTTTATTTGATAAACTGCTGTTAAACTTCAATCTCTTTGTTTTTTACACCCCACATTTATCCAACGCTTACAAAGCAATTACGGCAGGTTCTTTCAACAAAATATGACACTACAAAATGTTTTTTTGCATCAAAGTGTGTATGTAATTAGTAGATACAGAACCAAGGAAAATACTCAACTGAAAAAAAAAAAATTAAGTGACAGAGTTTTCATATAAAAGTCACGAATACCACACTATCCCTGTATGATGTGTACTCTGGCTATAGTTTTTGATATTTATTTTAAATATAAATTAATAATAAATAATGACTCCATTTGTGCGGTTTTTAAAATTCATCAGAAAAAATAACAAAAGAAAAAGAAAACGGAGGTGGGTATCGGAGAATTTTTAATGTACATTATAAAGAAAAAACAAGAAAGTTTTCTCCACATTTTAATATCAAAATAGGAATAAAGTTGCATTTATTATCTAAACAGATTTTGTTTTTAACTTTTATTCCATGTTCATGGTTCCCTAGAACTGAGGTGATGAGCTCTATCATTTTACTAGATCTGCACGAATTAAACAACCATCATAAAAATAAAATTTTTTTTTTCCAGTGTTTTTCATGAATCGAGATTTCCAAGAGTATTTAAGAAGTCCCTTTTGTGCTCATTTGTGTCCAACGTAATAATGAAGAAAAGAATGTCATTTATTTGAATGATGGTATGGCCCCCACAAGACACGTCTGCCATCACCACAAATGCCATTTTCTATCATCGACGCTGGAGTTCTTTCCACAAAATATGACACTACAAAATGTTTTTTTTTGCATCAAAGTGTGCATGTAATTAGTAGATACAAAGCCAAGGAAAATACTCAACTACTAAAAAAATGACTGAAACAGTCTCAGACTTTTTATGAGCAAAATCCTCACCTCAAACGTTTTTGCTCCATTTTTGGCTTCTGCTAATGATAAATAAATACAAACAAGTGTACATTAGGAAGGCGGTTCTTCCACAACTAGATAGTTTAAACATTTCGAAGAGGTGTAGATACTATAAAAATTAATTTCAGTGTCAGATTTAAAAACTTAAAACTTCCCTTTTCCATATCATATATTCATCTAAGAAACATTCAAATATTATGACTTAAAAGAATTATGGTTGCGGTTTGAGCTTAGCCGCTCGCTATCCGGTTCTGTTTATAGGGGTACCATTCTTCTCGCTCGTGACTGTACCTGTCTAAACTTTTATTCACTCCCTATTTTTGCAAACGCATATTTTTTAAAAATATAATACCTTCAAGATTAAGGTGACCAACCGTCCTGATTTAGCCAGAGAACATGTTTAGATTTTTATTGTCTTGTCTTGTTTTACATTTATGTCCTGATTTGTCCCGATTTAAGGACCAACACACCTAAGTGTGTAATTTTTTGACAGCGAAAATAAAATAGCTTTTCATTGTGAAAAAACTCAACTGAAACTAATTTACCTATTTCTACAAATAGGTACTTAAAAATCGCTTATTATAATGACCAAATTAACTATTAATTTTGCTTGGATAGATTTATTTAATGTTTGCACAGAATAAAAGAGTTATCAAAGCAATTCATACGAAAAAAATGAAATTAACACAAAACAATAAAATAATATGTTAATTATTAGATTAGGGTCCAAAACCTGTTTTTTGTATTTATGTCAATACTTTGCATCCTATATGTATTCTTATTATATTTAAGTTTTTATACAGAAACATTAGTAATACCTACTTTTTGTGTTCTGGAATAAATTTATTACAATTATTTTTATTAATGTCCTGATTTTGAATTTTTTGAAATTGGTTATCTTATTCAAGATTTATTGGTTTAAATAGTGTCGGGTTTTTCAAAATTACACTGTTTGTATAAATATCATGGTTGGCTTCAATGAATTTTGCATACTTTATTCAGGGGTATTACTTACCCCAAATTCATAAAATAAACCACAAAATTTGATTTTAAATTTTGATTTAAATTGAATATGTCAATTTTAACCACTTGTCAGTTGAAGACGCAGCCATTTTGAATATAAACATACACTCGATAAATTTTTGGCCCATTGATATAGGCAACCCAATTAACATAGTGGAAAATTGGTTTGCTCATTTTGGGCTATTGTAACCAAAATTATTCTAATTATTTCAAAAATAAATTCCCAAATGGTTCAATATCAAAATTTTTATTTAGTTTTAAGACTAAATATATAAAACCAGTTTAATTGATAATGATTTCAATTGTTCCAGTACACTGATCCTTATTTGGGGAATAAGTATTTAAAAATAGACTAGTCTTCGAAATAAAATTTGTTTGAATTTTTCATTACTATGTACTCCTAAATTAGGATAATTTAATTAATACTCCAGTTGATATTAATTTTAATTTATTGTTTTAGAGCTAAAGTAAAACAAATATAGCAGTAATTTTGTATGAGCAATTATTTTTTAAATCATTATGGCCGCACACCAGCGTCAAAATGTGCCCATCTACTGATTTCATTGAATAATTGGTTACCAGGACAACTAGTTCTGCTTCCTTGCCGATGCCCAATCAACCGATAATCATCCCGTATATAATTCCCTTCTTGGGCACAAGAAATTAACTGTTTCAGTGCATCTAATTGTGTTTGCGACGGTGCTATGCCTGAAATCCATTAGTTAACGCAACCGAATTATCTAAAACATTTAACTCACTTTGAAAATTTCCAATAACACAAATTCCGATACTATTCGAGTTATAGTTTGGGACATGAGCCCCCCAGATACCCCATCCGCGTCCCTCATAAACATTACCATCACCTCCAATCTGAAAAAACAATCACTAATCTACGAAAAAGGTTTAAATTAAGTACCAAGAAGTTATAGCCGATATCTTGCCAACCGTTGTGATTCATGTGATAGTCCTGAATGCCTTTTACGCGATTTTTACACGACTGTCGATTTTGGCAATTGGCATCGGCAGAATGGTGGACCACCACAAATGGGGCTGGGTTTTGAGCCAAACTTTTGGATGATTTCGGCGCCCTTGCGCCCCATTCTGATCGGGAAATAATCGTAGGGCATGCACCTAAACAATTATAAAGATTTTTGTCCAAACTTATTTGCACACTCACTTTGAGCCAAGTACGGAAAAACTACTAGAAGTAAAACAAGTCGGAACATTTTGTTACAAAATTGTGTCTCAAACTAGCCAAGTTGCTAAACAATCATTTATATAATAATATTTAGTATGTAATTCCCCTTGTCGGATTACAAAGATCGCTGAGGTCAGCTACATCCTAATAAATAATTGATTAGATGAGGGGTTTCCCACTTTCAGAGTTGATAGTGTTGTGTTTTATTTTGTTTACCAGTCTCAAGACAAATCGATTAGTTAAATAGAAAACATGTTAAATAAGTTAAGTTGCATGCATTTGCGTCACGAATGTTGAACGAAAGCTCTCAAAGGTGTATTGGGGGTTGCCTGCCTCACGGAAAGCACACGGAAGCTGAGTTAAATAAACAATAACATAAACCGCTAATTTAAATAAAGTATAAAGTTGAGTTAGGTCTAATTAAATCTAATGTAAGTATGATTTAAATTACGATCACGTGTTCAGAATAAATAATGGAAGCGCGTGATGTTTAAATTTGAAATTTATGATATATTTTGAGCTAATTTGCTGTCATGCAATAAAACTAATAATTAAATTGCAGAATTATAAATTCCCGGAAATTTTACTGAATAATTAAAATTCATATTTTGCCAGTTTTGTTATTGTGAAGGTGGATCAGTGTGTCAAAAACTGATTATAATTCAGTCGATGTGACATTTCAAACATAAAACATGAATCTAATTATGCAACAATTAGTTTGGCTGCATTCATCAATACTTTTGTTTAGAGCGTGCTTATTAAATTTGTATACATTGAATTGGTGCAACGGGTCGCTTTATGTATTATTTCGAAAAACACAATGAAATGTAGTATTGCTGTTTTTTTTGGGTGTACATTTTTGTGACAAATTAACGAATTGCAGTCATAGTAATTTTAGAAGAGACAAATATAACGAGACAATTATATGTAAACACTATAGTACATAGAAACATGCAATACGCCATCTCCGGGGAAATTTACAAAATGGGGCAAGTGTCGTCTCCCGTTGATTTGCTGTATGAATTTTGTCACGATCTTACACTGAATTCAGTATTTCCTATTATCGGAAGTTTCTTAAACCGAACTAGTTAATGACTCAATATAGCAAGATCCAAATTAGATCTCTTGTCTCGTATTCTCTCTGTTCGAGTCCGTGAAGCAGGAAAAACCGGCTAGTAGAGTAGTAAAGGTGGTCGATTTCCCCCACCGCTAATCAAATTTAAATTCAATGAGGTGTATAAAAACCGGTTCCACGGAAATCAGGATACCAACACGTCGGAATAAATGTTTAATAGAAATTTAATGTGGCAATCATTTAAAAAATTCATCCCAGCTTATGATTTCTTGACTTCATAATTGCGATTTTTACACGAATTTCTATGGCAACACGCGAAGCTAATCGATAGCAACAAAGATTCACGTAATGCAGCTGTCTTAATACCATATCGAATTTGATCCAATCAGACCCAACTAAAACAGTCAGTTTTTTAAATATTAAAGCCCCTCTAAAAGCTTGGGGTGCATAACTAACAAAGTGACATTCGTGGAAAATTTATAACTGTACCAAAAATTTGTTTTAATGTAATTATGTAAATAAACAAGACCCAACGCTCCAATTTAACATCTTGCCAACTCCGGCCAGTCCTTTTGTCCAAAAGACTTTTATCTGCTTTTGGATATGTTTCATAGCTATTCTCTCGCCACAGACTTAATCGAGTTACTTTAACGTGACTCTTTTAATAATATTCTCTGTGCTATCAATGATAAAGGCCTCTTATTTAAAGTTTCAATTGGAACTATTCCAACTCTAAATCAGTTATATAGTCTATAGGTTGGAAAATCACTAAATTCATTTCAACTATTCGGTTAATTAAAAGACATTGTTCTTGTCTTTTAGTAAATAACAACAAAACCTTCATCGAGATCAATAACCATCCTAAATGTAATAACCTTTTTATGATGGCGTGAATCGTCTTTGTGTATTACGTTCTTGATTAGACTGGGTCTATTAAAAGTGGATTAAAGTGACAGAAAGTTCAGTTTGCTTGCTTATTCACTTGATTGATAGTTAATAATAATTGCATTGTATACAGTATTCAAGTCCAACATTAAAGAGCAAAGTGTGCAATTTCACTGTTTGCGTTTTTGCTATATTTGAAACTTTTCTGCATCAATAAACCCACATATGCATCGGCTTGCAATTTCCATTATAGTTGCGTTGCATCATCAAAAAAGCAATGAATTTCTTTCGAACAGAAAAAGAATAATTCACGAGGAAATTTGGTATCTTCTAAATATCAAAGTCCAATTACTTGCTCTAATATATGTTCACTAATAAATTTACACCAATTTATTTTCTTCCAATCCAACTTCACATTGTAAAAATATTTACGTCTGGGAGTTAAAAAATTTAGTGGACAACTTGGTTATTAAAAATGAAGTTTTAGCTTCCTAAAGTTTAAAAGGTTGTTCTTTCAGGTCCAGTTTTGTAAATATTTGATATGATAGAAACTTGTTTACGATTTTGTTAAATAAAAATTTATTCGCGTTCAAAATAAACCACAGCCGCAAACTTGAATAAGTGGTATAAAGAGAATCGATTTTTGCTCCAGAGAAGATGAAGTTCCATCGCAGAATAGCTTCGGCTTGTCATATATATTTTTATTATTTTGAACAAGTTTTTGAAGTAGTAAAAACAAAGCAGACTTTAGTAAACATAACGGAGACCAGTGGCGCTTTACGATTTTTCTCACCGTGCTATAGCTATAAAAAATTCCAGCGTTTCTTACTTTCCACAGCATGTGAGCATTTTTTTTTTTGCATTGATGAGAAATTGTGTGAATGAGAGCGGTTGTTTGAGAAATAGTTAGAAGTGGTTGCGGAGTAATGTCCGAATGGGGTTGTAGATGCATAACAAACTCCTCGAGTTAGAAGTTTGTTTAAAAAAAAGTTATAGTGGATCGGGTGGGGCAGACCGGTGGCTCGAACACGCGCGCCACTGAGCGTCGCGGCGCGAAAAGACGTTGCGCACCCGGCGTCGAACAGCGTGTAGTATGACCCGAGAATCGAATAAGAACGTCAGGTGGTGTGCCGGGCCACACGAAACCACGAATAACATATCATAAAACCGGTGATAGTAACAAATATCGGTTATGTTAAAATTGCTTGTAGTGCCTAATAGATTTATTTATTTAGTGGTCCGTTCCTACGTAGGAAATCGATTTTGGACCCAAGAAGATGATTGAAGGTATCGTTTTATAGTCATTTTTACCCTAGCGTGCCACACTTACGTGTCGATTGATAACGAATCATGTGACTCCATGCAGATGACTTCTTGCATCCCCTCCTCCCAACTCACGTGCTACTCGACGCCTCCATATAACCTCTGTACCGACCTCAAACAACCGGAGATCTCCCGGAGTCCCGGAGACATGACAAATCACTTAATTGACTCTTAATAACTAGGATTAATACCACCATAAAACTATAAATAATGAAAACCGACTGTAATCGACTTATTCTTGATACTCTCCACTCAAATAACCATAAAACTTAAGTTCTTATTTAAAAATAGTTTATTGGTTTTACGATTTATAAATAATTAGAAAAAATGTGCTTCATAACACGTTACCAATCAATTGGTTTTCGATACTAAACTTTCTAATAGAAGCTTTGACAATGATGAGCTTCAAACCCATGTTTATCATTAAATGATGTTTCGAATTTTGTCTATCGATCATTTTTCTAACCTTGATGTAAATAAAATTTTTATAGACAAATTGGAATAAACATATGAACATATGATTTAATAAGTGTTACAATCAATACAATTAAAATCAATAAGCAGAACAGACAGACTACTATAATTTCCTTAAAATCGAACATCATCAGATGGCCCTTAAAAAGCTTGCATAAAATATAAATTATTCTTCTAATTTGTACCCCCATTCATCTTATCCATTCAAGATTGCCTCATTTTTCATTCATCGTTGTCGTGCATGCACTAATCTTCTTAAAGCGAATTTTCCACAATTATCAGCCAAAATTTAAGCTGGAAAATGAGTCCTCATATTTCAACAGTATGTGTGCTGAATCAACTCAATGTTAGTATTCCTGTGAAAAATTTTGCTTCGATGTGCAGTGTCACACTTTACGATTTATGAAATAGCATGTGCTTGCAAGGATTTTAGAGGCGAAGGGTAATTGTGAATCGCGACGGCTAAATATAGGTTTCAGTTCATTAGGACTTTCGAGAGACTGGAAAAGGACACGTCTAAGAGGAGCAAGTGTGCAGAAATACCTAATCAATCGAGTTTTCGAACGTTTGCTTGAACTGATTTTAATATTCTCTTCAGTGATTGAAATCCTCACTCGAGTCAAGTGTTTGATTTTGTGGTTAAGCTGATTGAAAATCGGTTTCATGGCCTTTCAGCTGCATAAGTCTTTCATACACGAACCTCTCAATTTTTTACTTATCCGTGGTGGTTATTTGTAATTTTCCCTGGAATTGATTTCGGGAGAACGTAATTAGTTTAATATCTGGAAGGAAAAGATAATCCAGCTTTTATTCTCTTGTGAATTGTGTTTTTAAGCTGGTCACGTTGCCTGCTCAATACGAAATATTCGCAACTCTTTCGACGAAATTTTTTCGAAAGGAAAACTATTATGTTGGTTCTTGCAACTACATTGTCCTTACAAGTAGAAAACTCAAAACCGGGCGAGTACTCAGGCAATTATAAGCGACTTAATAATGAATAGGAACTCCATTGGCGCTCATTCTTCGGGAAATGAATGAATAACCAATTCATGTAGGGAACATGAAGGTACACTTCTGGGTGCTTCTGGTATTTATCAAGCGCAAGCGCGTTTCTATGGCTTTTGTTGGTAACGATCAGCTGACTCAAACATCGTTAAATATTTCAGGCCCATAATTGCAGACTAGAAGACGGAAAACCCTACGACTTCACTGAACACAGCTAACATGATTAAAAAATCACTTTTGACACACTATTAAATATTCACTTACAACCCTAATACGACCGTTTTTTGTGCAAGTCTGAACGACAAAAACGCACCCTTGCGAGTCACTAATAACAAATCAAACACACTTCTACTCCACAATCGCAAATATACCTACTCCATTATTTAAAAGCACCCAGCTGTATATTTGCCAGATCTACCAAAAAATTTTACATTGTCCAGATCCTTTTGAGTTTTTGATATAAAAATATTTTTCAATTTTGTTTAACTCAAAATAATGTTTTGATTTTATCAACTTAGTCTTTTAAAAATGTATCGCGTGCTACATTTTAATATGGAGTAATTTTGGTTGTGCGTTTAATTCTAAATTCATTTTGTCCTTTGGTGTTGAGCAATGGGATTGCTTCACCCTCCAGTTAGTTATTTAAGCTAATTGGCAGGCAAAAATTTTCAATTTGCTTGATTGTCATTTCGTGTTAATTGCCCACCGATATTCTTCTCGAACTGCAGTTGCACTATTTCGAAATACCTTTCCGACTCTAAAACTTTTGCTAATTTACATATACCTGGAATATCACTAAACAGAAACGAGCAAATTTCGAATCCTTTTAAGAGAAGTCTAATGACTTACTTTAAGAGAAGTCTAATGACTTCTCGAAAGCGCCCCAAAGCTAATGCTTTGGGGCGCTTTCGATGTCTTGCCCGTAAAAAGTGCGATTATATAATACATCCGAACCTGAGGGAGCGTGTTTGTATTTTTCCCACAGAAAAGGAGGAGTCATTTTCGACCTTCATTGTTCACAATAACACACCTCTATTCACGATTGTTCTGTCTTTATTCTTCACGCAAGGTGTGCGAATTTTCCCTGTTTCTCTTTTATTACTTTCAGACTTATTTTTACACCTCTTTGAGAACCCTTTTCATTCCTTTCGAGTGTCCGTTGCGACTTTGTCTCGTTCAGTGTTTTCAAACAATTTTTCATTTGCGTGCGCGATTGGAAAAAGTCTTCGTGCACTGGTTTCAAAATCGTGTTTTATCCGGTCTTCAAGTAGGAGAAAATTACTATTGGCAAGTTCGTTATTAGATTTAGAAACTTGGTTAAATTGGTAAAGTTTTATATTTGTTTTCGCAGACACAATCGAAAAACAATTAGTGTCGAGCAGATACAGTGCAGTACATTATCATCTTTGTTGATGTATTGTGTGAAAGTTGGATTGGCTAGTAATGTGGTGGAGTTAATCTCGTTTTTCTTTGTCGCATTTGTCGATTCGGATTTAATCCTCAATTAAATTAGTTTGGAAGGGTTTTTCCACTTTTCATCTGGTACCAACACAACAATTAATGAATCAACACATGCACCCTAATTTCGCTTTTCACATCTCCCATTAATTAAAGTAAGTTTAATTGCTCCCAATGGAGGAGTATTCATTTAATTAGGAAAAATAAAAAAATATTGGTTTTATGTTTCGATGAAAATAAACACATTTACGCCAAGTATGAATTACGTAAAACAAAAATCGTTGACGGAAAATGAGAACCACAAAAAATGAAAGGAAAAAATTCGGGCACATCCAATTTAATCTAGGCTTATCTAAACTTTGTTTGGTCCCAGATCAAGGATTTTATTTAAATAGTAATGAGGTACAGGTCTGCAAAACCATGTGTAGAAAATTTCCTAAAGCCGAATTTCCTTTGAGATTGCATATTCGCATCCTCATAATTTTTGGAGCGTTACAACTTCGAATTGCTTTTTTATCAGATCCTAAAAACAATTTCAGAAACTCATACAAGTAGCGCAAAGACATACATATTTTAGACGCAAACGAAATTCAACAAAGTTCAACGTGTGTTGATGGGAAATAAATTAATTACGTTAAATTTAGTTCAACTCGTAGCAGGAAACAAAGCGGAAATATAACACCTTTTCGTGAGAACAAAACTGGGTTATTTACCAGAAATATCTAAAAATTGGGAAAATTATATGATTGTGGGTTATCGCTATTAAGTCGTATTATTATGTCTATTGTAGATATGTATCTAGGTAGCCACGGTTTACGACCGACAATAATGTTTACAGCTTTGTATGACAAGAAACGTCATTTTACGTTATTGTATACAAAGCATTTGTAGCAAAAAGTGTTTTAGACCCAAATGGTAAGTTGGCCATACTGCCCTCATTACATAAACAAGCAGTAATCTACAGACGCTGTTTTGTTTTGCAATTAAGTAATCGATAATAATTGCAAGTCAAATGTTACTCGGTATAAAATAAGCTACATGTGGTTCTCTCTGAAACCAGTCCGCGAGGGATCCAGAAACTAGTTCAAAACCGGTCATTTAATCAACTGGAAAAACCGGTTAAACCAGCGTGTGCAAAATAAGGCACTAATTTCAAAAGACATAAAAAAATTAAATGTTTCTTATTGAGTTACACTTGCAGTATTTAATTTATTATTAAATAAATAACTCAGTTATGAACTTGTATAGAAAGGAGTTAATTTAATTTGCTGCAGACTTGAATTGCAACTAAAAACTAATTATGATTATATTGGCGAGTTTTTACGTTTTAGTAGCAAGAAAGTCGGTTATACCCGTTTATTGCCACCTGATACTCGCCATAATTGGCTCCAGATCAATAAAACCACTAATCGCTTTTTTGATAGAAGCTATTTGTTTTTGTAAAGGAACTATAGGTCCTGACAGGGTTTTGGAGACGGTCAGACTAACATCAATGTTTTAGAAGAACAAACAGTATATTTTTCAGCTGATCAATGAGTCGTTTCCTGGCAACTTTTTTACTTTTAGACTAGGTTTAGTCACAATAGGCCATGAATGTCTGCACCTATTGTAGCTTAATAGCCACATAAACAAAAACAGGGGAAGATTATTCTTATTTGAGTTTCGCGTGCGAACTTTTATTAAAGTAAACGATGAGAAAAGCTGAACACAAATCATTTTAATTCACAGTTCCGATAGGCACTAGTGTATCATTTTAGTTTTTGGTTTACTTTGCGTCACGCGAAAGCACACCCATCTTCGCGGATTTTTTATTTTGGTCATTAAAAACGAAGAGATCGTTAGGTGGGCTTATCGGTCATTTATTTACGCAGAGCCAACCTCCGGATTTGTGCGAACACACCCTCACACATCTATTATATTTATGCCAAAAGGTACATTCGGAGAAAAACAACACCATCTATAACATTGCAAGTAGAACGAATATCGATTGTTGTACGGGATTTATAGTTATCTAAACAAATTGATTT